CGTGGGTAATAATACCACTATAGGATTACTGTGACCAACCATCGTTATTTCATTATTATTTTATGTTCTTTAGAAAGTTTTAATGTGTTTGGTAATTTTCCCACATAATTTTGGTTTTTTTCGTGATCTTTTTTGTACATGCAGTTTCTTAGTTCCCGTATGGGTAATAGTATCGTTGCAAGGTTGTCGTAGCCGAGCATCGTCATGTATTTATTACTTTACGTTCTTTGATGACTTTTGATGTGCTTGATAGTTACATAATTATGTTTTTCATACGATTTTTGTTTTGTATATACAGTTATTTCTTCATATCATGTGGGTAATAATACCACTATGGTATTATTGTAGTCGATCTTTATAATTTTAGCATTATTTTATGTATCGTGAAGAATTTGCACATACTTGGTTGTTTTCTGAAATAACATTTTTACATGATGTTTCGTATAATGATTAGAATAAATTATGTGAAGTATTCAATGTTTCTCTTCAAATTTCCGTTCAGAATTACGTTAAATATTTCCACAAATCTTTTTTAACTTAGTCATGTTTCTTCAATTCCAAGATTGCTCAATAGTGACGTTCGATTAGATTAGATTAAGTCATGTGCAATGTTTATTTCGCAGATTTCTCATCAAGATTTTTCCAAAAATATCAACATATTATTTTTCTCTCCACTTCCTATCAAAATTCATCAACGTTAAATTAGGTTAAAGGATTTCCAATCAGTTTCGTTCGAAAATCGTCCACAAATCCTCCTCCGCATCACTTTGTGTAACGATCAGCCATAATTTGACCAATTTGCCATTTTGTTACAGCAATTTCAAATAAATGTTATATACTCGAACAACGTGTTCGAGATATTAAACGCAAAATCATTGCCAATACGGCGTACAAAATATAACTAAATCCGGTATGTAATCCAGATTTATTTCAAAATGATAAGATGTTCCATGACTTATGGACGAGAGTGTATACGCTGGAGGGCGGAGAGCACAACCGATCCCGCACTATCGTCGGTAGACGTATAGCCTCTCCGCCTTTGAGGGTTTCATGAAGAAGAATCGTATACAGAAGCGGGTCTGGAGGCAAAAATTGTGCGGAAGTGCACGCTTCCACAAATAACCATAGTATTTTACAGTTCTCCTCGGCTGCAACCATAACTGCCCGGGGTCACAGACTCGTGTCATAAATCGCCGCTCGTATCCTTTTACCCCGGGTGACGGTGTGAACGAGGATTTAAAAATTCCTAAATGTTCATCAGCGTTATCTTGTTTCTGCTTTTAACTTCGCAGTAAAAATGCCACGGCATTATCTGAACTTTGCCGTTATCAAAACTGAATGTCCCATTTTCACAACATCAGTGTCAAACCATTCTCATTTCTGTGACATTTATGCACTGTAAATTTTCACCGTTAAGATTAGTTACGAACGTGAAGCTGAATATTATTCCATTAATTTTTGTACACACTCTGCGGTTAAAAGCGTCAACGAGATCAGGTGCACCGAGTGTTAAACCTAAAGGACATTTATCAATCAGATACTTTCGCGCGTTTACCGTCCAACAAGTTCAATTAAAAACGAAAAGCAACAACTAGATTGACGGCATTTACGATCCGCCAGTAGCGATCCGGCTGATTTACATGAAAAGAATGTAAATCGTTCGGACAAAAGCAATTTAGGCGGCACAGCTATACATAACTCGGTCCTATCGGGCACGTTTTAAAAGTAGACAGCTCGCTCGACTTCCGTTAAATCGCGCTCACAATCAGTCGTTGCAATCGACGAATTGCGGTTGCGCCAGCCCTGGAACACTTCGTGTGTTCGGGGAGAGGGTAACTACCAACCTCCTCCTCTATAAACCACCCCACTGAGACTCACCCCCAATTCTCGACCACACTTGTCCAACACCACTTCACCGTATCCTGTACGTGCACGTACAGTGTCAGTCAAAAGAAATACAAACAAGAACGTGAATTGACTATGAGCGAATATATGTATCTAAAAATGAACGCTCAGTAGACCGCATATATTCGTCTTCGATGATAGATGCTGAGCGTATGTACTGGGTGTACCAAAATCGTGGTACAAGAAGGTAGCGATTCTACATTTAAAGATGAATTGGAAAAGAATTTCTTTTATTCGATTTCGTTTTTCAGGAAATTGTGGTTGAGCATTCTTGAATATAGTTATAAGAAAATTTGTTAATCTAACAGAATGATAATTTCAATAACCTGTTCTTATTTACAATATCTGTAAAATTGGTTTTCAACTTACTTTTAATTTTATTTTCAACATAATTTGTAATATTAGTGAAGTCGTACTGGTGTTGAGTATTGTTATGATTATAACTATTATAGTACTAATGTAATACTGTTAAAATAAATTATTTGATATTGTTCTTCGTAATACTGTTGATGCGCTATCACCTACAAAGTAAGCGTTGCATGATGGATTTAGTTCGAAGCATGATATACATGTGAATAACAATAGCATAATCAAGAATAACTATTAATAATTTCAATGATATTAATAATTAAATTTTCTAACATTTACATTTTACATTTGTAATATTTATTAGTTGAATTGACCATGAAATCGTTGAAACCGTCAATATTACAAATACTTTAAGGAATTTTTTAATTTGTTTCTTTTTTAAATAAAGTTGAATATGAAAAGGTGTTATTTCTTTTTAATTATATATTCTGGTTGTCGTACTATGATTTCGGGGCACTCTGTATACATGCTTATTAAAGATATATTCAAGTACACAGGCCGTATATGTATACTCTACATATATGACGTATATATACTAATATTGTATACGACTAGAAGCGTAGATACTAAGCGAAAATATAAATGCTTAAAGTAAAATTATAGTACACGTACGTCCTCAATGAATTAATGCATAGATACGAAGATCGTATACACCTCTATAGGTAAACATTAAGGTACAAGTCCGCATAAAAACATTCTGAAGGGTATATCTGTATATTGAACAGGTATATGTATATATTTTCAATAAGTATTTCCAACAAACGAATATATATGTCCACAATAGTAGAATACTGGACGTCTATATGCGCTCTTAAATAGTGAACCTTGAAAGGAGATGTACGTTTTTCATGAGTGGGCATTCAAACATATACTCTGACATATACTCTACATATACAGTAGCATAAAACGGACGTTGAGAGTATATATGTATACGGTATATACATATTTTAGTGAATACTGATCGTACATATACGCTTGCAAAGAGTGTACGCTTACTCGTAAATGACTGTATGCCGTTCGAACGTACGTCAGCATTAGTTCTAAGAATGAATGTATACATACCGAGAATCCACTATTTAAAACCGTATATATACGAACTTCGTATTGGAGCATTCATGATGCGGGGAAATATATGCATATACATTTTCTACATCTCAGAGTCTTTTTGAAAGACGTTTATATACATTATTATATCCTCACTATTTACGAAATATGCGTCTGAAGGACGTCTTAAAATTTGTGACTAAATATTTACCACTAATTTGAAAGTAATATGATTTATTTTAATATATGTTACAACACGTGCAGTATTCTTCATATTTCTATTGCTGCTTTGAGACCGCATATATACGTTCATTATTTTTTATCGGCGTCCGCTCATTAAGAACGTATACAATATATGTTAATTGAATCTAGTGTGTAAGGAAGTAGACACGTCAAGTGCCTACCATAGACTTATAAACCTGTTCATTCAAAAATATGATAGTTTCAAAATTTGACAATTGAGATTGCGTAAATTTGAAAGGACTAAATTTTTAAATTCCCAATATTTCGAATGTCTAAATTTTTAAATTCATAGATTTTCAAATTCCGAAATCGTCAAATTTTCAGGCTTTTAAATTTCAAAATGTTCAATTTCTCAAACTTGCAAGTTTTCTACTTGTCGAGTTTCTACATTTTATAATTTCCAAATTCCAGAGGCCCAAATTTCCAATATGACTTTTCAGATTTCCCAGTTTTTAAATTCGATAGCGTCAAACTTTCAAATTCTGAAATTCGCAAACTCGCAAACTCGCAAATTCTGAAATTCCCAAATTCTCAAACTCTCAAATCGACAAATTTTCAAACTCCCAATTTTTCAATTTCTTAATCTTTTAAATTGTCAAATTTCAAATTCTTAAATTTCAAGTTTGAAATCCTTCATTTTTCATATTCTCAAACTTTCAAACTCTCAAACTCTCAAACTTTCAAACTCTCAAACACTCGAACACTCAAACTCTCAAACTCTCAAGTCTCAAATACTCGATTTTTCAATATCTCAATTTCTCAAACTCGCAAATATTCAAATCTCAAACTTGCAAATTTAAAACTCTCAAATTCCCAAATTTTAAATTTGCAGATCTCAAGTCTCAAATTCTCATTCTTTTAATTTCTTAATCTTTTGAATCTTTAAATTCTCAAACGTTGAAATATCACAATCTGATACTATCAAACTCTCAAATTTCCAAATTTTCCATTCCCCAATTTTTCAATTTCTTAAATCCTCAAATTCTCAAATTAAACAATTAAAAATCCTCAGATCCAAAAATAAAGAAACTTCATAACCAGAAATCACGAAAGTACACAAACATGAAAATTCCAGAATACAAAAATTTCCAATTTCGAGCTCAAACGTCAAAATCGATGGATTTATTATCCATCACTGACCGCGAGCGCATTTCCGCAGCTGTCCGCACGCGGCATCCCACGAGCGCACAAGCTCATCACTGGTGTAAATAACTACACGTATCAATTTTAAACTTTCTTTTGACCGACACTGTATCTCCGGAACAGTTTCGGTAGTAGAAGAGGGTCGAGTGTCGAGTATACGTGTAGGCCCGGTGAATAACTGTCCGCGTATGTGTTGGTGTAGCATTCGAGTGTATGGTGGGAGTGTGGTACCGGAATCGGCCAACAGAGGCGCCATGTTCGGTTCGGAGCGCATTCACGGCACAGACTCCGTAGAGTCGTGGCGCCATCGAGTTTCGTTTCAGCGGCAATCGGACGACAGTTTGTCCTGTGTGTTCGGACGAGACGGGTGTGTGATTGATCGCGTTCCGTCGCTCACGAAACCGAAAAGTGACATTCGACGCGGCGTGTCGCGAACGTATCGTGCCTATACCCGACACATGCGGAGAAAAGTTGTTGGTGGCAAGTGCGAGGGGAAGAAAATACCAGTAGAACCGGTCGCGAGTCGAGGAATGACCTCGCGTTCGCGTGTCCTTACGACAAGTCGCGATATGACGCGATGATCCTCGACGTGTTTGTCACGTCCGTCTTGACTACGTTGTTCGTTCGATTCGTCAGTGTGCCCGCGGTGTGATAGAATCAAGTGCCCGAAAATAACGCGGAGATACGAGAGAAAAAAGGAGGGAATTAAAAGTTTTGTTTGTTGAGTCGTTACCTGGAGTCATGGGTGATGTATACGGGTTAGTTAGTGAGCTGCTCTTGAAGGATACACCCGAGGACAGAAGAAAAATCGACCTGACCACGCCGCTCGTCACGGTGAGTCTCTTCTTAAACTTATCTTCTGGTCGTGGTACTTTGTATTCGTCATTCTTCTGCCTGTCCGTCGTTCTGTCGAGTTAAGATTAAAAAAGACACGATGTTAGGGACCAAAACGAAGAACGAGAGGAAGATGGATTATTGTGGTCTCTCGATCCTTTTTCTTCTGCTTCTTTCTTAAGCCGCGTTCATAATGCACTTGTACTCGTACGTTCACTTTGTCACTTTATCATTGTTACCAATTTAATTCTACGGATTTTGTATTGGGAAAATGTAAATAATAATAGCGTGTTTTGAACATATGGAAAGTTTGTAGACCGCTCGTTGTCAGTAGAGCGTTGCGTAAGAAATAAACAAACGCGGCTAATTTTTGGAACGCGATTCATTCACAGTCATTCGCTTGTAATTTAAATATGTTTAAATTCATTTAAAAACTAAACACGAACGAAAGTTATGTCAGTGTTATGGGTTAGATAACATTTTCTACCTTATCTGTCATATAAAACAGATGTTATGTGACATGTTACGCTTGCTCCAAACCAGTGTAATGCGGTTAGGTTAGAAAACATTTGTCATCTACCATATGCAAGTGATTCGTCATCATAGTCTTGCTGTTGCATTAATTTATTACACGATATCGTTTTCTGTAGTCATCGAACGTAATATGCAAAATAGTAAACCACTTTTTTAATTACATTTTTCTGGGAAAAGGCGCGTATTCTTCAGACAAATGGGATGCGTAGGTTGAATCAGGTGATTTAAAAATGGTCGCCATTATCGTGGGTAACCGTTTTTAAATGGCACCTGTTAAAACTTTAATTCTTCGTTACATGGTCCTTTCCGGTCTGAACAATTTTTAAATTCCCGCGTGTGCTAAAAGACTGATGAAATTTTATTTTATTTAAAGAATAGAAAAATTCCATTATATTTTAAAAATATATAGTTGTCAATTTTGAACTTGTGAAACATAAAATTATTAACGTATGCGAGATAAAAATAGAGATAAATATACAAGAAATGTTTTTGATAATTAAATATACATTTCAATCTTGTTTAACAAGATACAAAAACTTTGGAGTTTATTATTTTACGCTCATACAGTTTAGGTTAAATATGGTAGCTTACAATGGAGAGTTAATGTTCAAAATTTTAGTCGGGAAATGTAAATTAGGAGAGATTTAAAATAGTTCTGCGATACTTTCACGAGACCATTACGAGGTGTTAACGAGCAACGTGCCAATGCATTCCTAGAATCAGAGTTTTAATACTTACAATTTTTATTTTTGAGAGCTTTACTGTTAAAAATTTCTATTTTGTGAAGCTGTGGTATTTCAATTTGTTCTGGTACTATTTGCAACTTTTATTTTTGACAACTTTAATATATCTTATTTTTATTTTGGCATACTTTAGTATTAATTATTTTTAGTGTGGAGTAATTTAGTATTGACAATTTTTATTTTTAAATATTTTAGTACATCAGATTTTTATTTTGCAATATTTTAGTAGTAACAATTCTTCTTTTAGTTTCAAAACTAAAAATTTTTGTTTACAAACAATATTTGAATTTTTTTTAATATTCAGAAACTGTAATATTCAAAATATTTATTTCCAAAATAAAAATAAAAATTGTTAAAAAGAAATACATGTCAATATTTGTAGTAAGAATAAAGTTTTTAATAGTTTATATAAATTCATTATTAAAGATATAATTATGTATCAAGAAAAAAGCTTTTTGTGCAATAAGATTTTGGAACTATTTTTTTTCGTGGAATAACATTTTGTTATGTACCATGACTCACGCAACTGTTGTAGGTTAGATTGTATCTCCAGTTTGATTAGTGATAAAAAGAAAGTAGATCTACTGTTCCACTTTACCTTTATAATCAGTTCTACATGCGTAAATATTTTAAGACACAAGTGGACAATGTGTCATGCGACATTTATTAAAAAAGTGATTGCCCAGAATATTATTTAAAAGGTAGCATTCTGTTTACCTATTAATATTATCATATTTTTAAACTTTCAAAAGTTAATGTCTTTAGCTTTCCAGAATTTGCAATAACATTTAATTGAGTTCTCTTATTAGAGGAGAAACCGTGCTTTTATTATCGTTACCGTCAGTAACAGTATAATTTTATAGTTATATAACGATGGTTGGATAATGACAGAAATAGAACGCATGCCAAAGTTCCAGTTAAGAATCTTTGAACCAAATTCACATGTACTAAATGTATACAAAGGAAAGAGTTATAAATTCTAGAATTTGGAGATTTTGAAACTTGAGAAATTCGAGGTACAGTAAATTCAAATTTTTGGCGCAAAGTTTCATATTTTTAAACCTTCAAATTTGCCAATTTTTAGATTTATAAATTTTTATATTTTTTAACCTTAAAATTTGCAAATTTTAGATATACAAATTTTCATATTTTTTAACTTTAAAATTTTCAAATTTTTAGATCCACAAATTTTGATATTTTTAGATCTGCAAATTTTTAAATTACTAAATCTTTAAATTTTGTAATATTTTCAATCTATAAATTTTCATGCTTCTAAATCTTAAAATCTGCAAATTTTTAGATCTACAAATTTTTATATTTTTAAGTTTGCAAATTTTTTAATTTCTGAACCTTCAAGTTTTGTAATATTTCCAATCTTCAAATTTTCAGATCTTTAAATTTGTAAAATTTGTTCATTTTTCAATCAAATTTGTTGGTCATTAAACTTCCAAATTTTCAACTCCCCAAATTGCTCAGATAATATAATTGTACAATTATATTTCGACTAAACAGTTACAAAAATACAACACATGCGAAAACCCCAATTAAAAATTGTTCAAAATCGGTATTCGAACAATGACCTTTCGACTTCAAAAGTTCAACAACGCGTAAAAAGCGCAGGTGCATCGTCAAAATATAAAATTCGAAACGTTGTCCTGCGGCAAAGGATCGACGTGTGTAAAAGATAAAAGAAAGAAACGTGGAAACGCAAATGGATTCCCTTTGTCATCGTCTTTGTCCTCGATCACTTGCATCGTTCCGTTTCGTTGTTTTTCCTTGTTCCCGGCAAGGTGACGCCTCTGCGAGTTCTCTTTCTTGAATCGAAATTTTCCCGCCTAGATTATTACAGTCGTCGAGAGGCCGCTTTGTGACGACGGCATTGAATCACGTACGCGGATGAAAGATTAAAGTCGCGACGATTGAAGAAGGAGGCGGAGGTGGAGGAGGATCGCCGTTTTGGCGCGATCGAACTGTCAATCGCAAACCAAGAATGGAATCTCGGATAAAGACGGATCGAAAAAGTGTCAAACTCATGCTATCGGGTAAAGCGTGTTAGAGGAATCGGAGACGATTCATCGATCATCGAAATACATACCTGTTTGGCTTCTTTTAAGCGCGATACGATTCTTCTTTAATTCGATCTATCTTCCTACTTTTTACCTCTGCTAATCTGTCCTCGATTTATCCAATTACTATCGGAATTAGCAGAAGTTACATGGGTTTTTAATGCTGATACATTTGATAATATTTTTGTAACTTTCAAATATTTTATACAAAGTTATTTGTGATTTGTATATAATATAAAACTTGTCGAGGTATTCTGGCAATCTAAGCTGATTTTTATTGAGACAAAGAATAAATATGTATTATAAATTTATGTTTTATCATTTATTGTTTGTCCAATATATTTGTAATTTTATATTATATTTATTTTCTATTATATTTTGTACATGTTGGTAATTTTAATATACATACAGTGTTATACTAAAACTTTAATTAAGTTTAGGTTTTGTACTCTTTTTTTTAGTATTAACGTTTGATGATAAATTGTTTTGCTGTTTGATATAATTCTAGCCGAGGTTAATTACTAATTTTGTGTCGATTGGTTACTTGATGGACATGTTCAGATTCGAGTGTGTAATATTACACGTTTTGGAGAGGCGATCCCTGTATCTGTGTCCCCGATATCGAACGTGTTAATTACGTTATAGGTGACTGTAAATCGTTTTATTTAATCTGTTTGAAGATAATTCATTTTTTCCTTTTTTATCAATACTCAATTCATTTTTACCAAAAATGGCAATTCATTGTTTCATTTTTATCAAAACAAGTAATTCATATTTTTCATTTCTTTCAAAAATAATAATTTATATTTCTTATTTTCAGCGAAACTAGTAATTCATATTTTTCATTTTTTTCAAAACTGATAATTTATATTTCTTATTTTTAGCAAAACTACTAATTCATATTTTTTATTTTTATCAAAGTTAATAATTAATTTTTGTCATATTTACTAAAAATAATAATTCATATACTTTCACATTAAACGTGCACATATATCTTGAAAATAAAAATAAAATACAAAAACATAACCGAACATATTAATTCTTTATCTTCACGAAAAGTGAACACACATTGCAAGAAAATTAAACAAAATTTCTAATTTACAATAAGAAATTCCTAAACTGGTAATTTATTGTTCACTTACAATCCCTAAATATTGTATATTATTTTAGTTAAATTCGCCTAAAAGAAATGTATACATCAAATTACAAATTGATACATCAATAAAAACATTCCCATACCTACATCTCTAACCTAACCCTGAATTTTCTCGAAATCAAAAAAGGGGACTTATGCCTTTAAAATAAACAGTTCACTCAATTTTCATCTGTATTCAAGACCGGCTTCGTCAACGAACGTTTTCGTAAGAGCTCGTCGATTATTGTGTCGGACAGAAGTTTGCCCGGAGAAGTTGATTACACAGATGGAAGGGAAGTTGTTGAATATTCGGCAAAAGGTTGCATTAAGAATTCCGCGAGGCGATCGTCAAAAATTCGATGAGCACGAACAACGAACCGGGGTCGTACAGTCTTGGAAACTCGGTGATCGCGGATTAAATATTAATCTGGACGACGTTCGATATTCGGGTGACAATAGAAGGGGGATTCGCTTCGCGTTACATCAATATTAATTGCCTCATCACCGTGTTATCGACACCTC